CGAACCCGCCACGTTAGGTGTATGTGGCTGGTGCCCTAGCCGCTTGAGCCACAGGCGCTGAGCCCACATTTTCTTTGTATCTCAAATTTTAGTGTAGCATTGTAGTATGTCAGAATTGACAAAATGGTTTGAGCATGGTAGCTCACAACAGTAATCCCAGCACTTTGGGAGGTTGAGGTGGGAGGATCACTTGAGGCTAGGAGTTCAAGAGCAGCCTGGGCCACATGGTGAGATCCCATCTCTACAAAAAACAAAAACAAAAAATTAGGCAGGTATGGTGGTGTATACCTGTGGTCCCAGCTATTTGCTAGGCTAATGTGGGAGGATTGCTTGAGCTCAGAAATTCAAAGTTATAGTGAGCTGTGATCATACCAGTATACTCTAGCATCTTAAAATAAAATAAAATAAAATAAAAGAATTGTCCTGGGTGAAATTATCACGTATACATCTCACACCTGTAATCCTAGCCCTATAGGAGGCAGAGATGGGTTGAAAGCTTGAGCTCAGGAGTTCCATACCAACCTGAGCAAGAGACCCCATCTCTACTAAAAACAGAAAAACTAGCCAGGCATGATGGCACACACCTATAGTTCCAGCTACTCAGGAGGCTAAGGCAAGAGGATTGCTCAAGCCCAAGAGTTTGAGGTTGTTGTGAGCTGTGATGACACCATTGTACTCTACCTAGGGTAACAGAGTAAGACTCTGTCTCAAAAAAAAAAAAAAGCATATTTCCTAAGGGAAGAGGAAATTGCTACTAGTCTTAGAGAAGCTAAGACCTAATTATCTTAGCTACAGTTGTCTCCTACTGGTCTTAGAGAAGCACCTCCAGTACACCAAAACTGTATTATAAGTCCAAATCTCTATTTAACTCCCTTCTCTAAAATTCATTGGTGTAAAAGGATACCTTAAAATGTTACTGTACCAGCATTCTGATCCCTAATAGCCACAGAATTTGGAACAAACAGGCAGAGCCTTTGTGCTGGGCATCCCTTCTGTACAGATCAGCCTCTCCTTGTTCTAAGAGCCCCCAGCTAATTAGGGTTTCAGCTACCACCCTGCCCTAGCAGGAAGTGCTAGGGTGCTGGGCATGGGTGTTTACAGCTTTTTGTGGGATATTTCTTTTACCTGGCAGGTGGCCTAGTGCCAAGTTGTCTGACCCATGTCCAGTTCATGCCTGCCTTGACCATTCCTCCTTGGCTTCCCAGGGAAAACCCAGCCTAGGGCAGCCCCTTCAGATAGAAGGTGCAAATACACTACCGCAATAGAAAATAAGTTCAAAGATTTATTATTTAAAGATCCTGGGCAAGGAGGGAGCAATGAATCAGGAGGACAGCCTTCCATCTCTGGGTCATGCATGGCAGGAATGAAGTGTCAGGTAGAAAGAGAGATAGCCTGGTGACTAGCAGTGTATACATAAATATATAAAGAGGAGTATATAGGAGGGTGTGAGTCACTTTAACATAGTGGGCAAATGCTTGAATGGTCTCTTTAAGTGTCCTCAGTAGGAGAATGGCCTCTAAGTTCTTATCTCTGGCCAAAGGCTTGAGCTGTGAGGATGTGGTGTTCTACTTCTAATGTGCAGGTAGCAACCTTTGCTGGGTCATTCCCTCCGCATCCCCACATATCCATAAGAGTAAATCCCTCGTGCCTTCAGAATTTTGCTCAGTTATCTCTTTCTTTTTTCTTTTATTTATTTATTTTTGCTTTCGATTTCTGCTGGCTTTCACTTTATCTTAGTTTGAAGTTTTTTTTTTAAATTTTTTTTTACTTCTTCCTCCTGTGGTGATTCTCTTGCCCCCCATGTAGCTGGGATTACAGACACTGGCCACAACAACTGGCTGTTTTTTTTTTTTTTTTTGTAGAGAGGAGGTCTCACTCTGGCTCACTCTGCCTCATGCTGGTCTTCCGCTGGTCTTGAACTCAGCTGAGCTCAGGTGATCCACCCTCTTTGGCCTCCCACAGTGCTGGGACAACAGGTGTGAGCCACTACACCCAGCCAGTTATCTCTTTCTTAACAAGGCCCATCCTAACACCTATTTAAAATTGCAGTTTGGCGTGGACCCACCACATTACCTATGTCCCCACTCTCTTTTTTTCCATAACATATATATCACCTAACACATTATACAATTTACCTATTAATTATGCTTATTATTTATTTATGTTTCTCCATAGAATGTAGACTTGAGGAATGAATCTTTGTTCATTGAAGTATCTCAAGTCACCTAAACAGTGCCTGAGAATGAATGAGTGACTGAATGAATGGATCCTAGTACCAAATAATCATCACTGAAGTAATTCCTCTTTAAGTCCCATTCCCTTTATGTATAAAATAGCTTTTCTCAAGCAAAAATCAATACTTGTCAATTTTTTTCCCATCAGTTATCTGAATTTTTGGGTTTAATTTAATAAAATTAGACCCCAAAATGACATTTTGTTTTAATTTGTACTCCTTTAGTAAATAATATAGTTGATTTTTTTCCTTTGTCTGTTTACTTACAAGTTAAAACTGTCTTTTATGAACTATTGGAGGTGCCCATTTATTGAGAGGCTTTCATTCCATCTATTAAATATATTCTGTAATATTAGCTACTATTTATTGAGTACTCTTCTATATGCCTATACTTAATACTATATATCATTCCAGTTACAGCTTAAATTCCATACATTAATAATATGGAATTATACTAGCATATGTACCACATATAGATAATAGTCATAGTTAACATTTTTCTTGAGAGTTCATTATGTGTCTCTTAACCATTTTGGAAGGTAGATATTATTTATGATACTGATGAAGAAATTGAGGGTCAGCAAGGTTAATTAACTCGACCAAGGTCACATATCTGGTAACTAACTTAACAATTTAAATCCAGCATCGATGCTCTTACTTACTCGGAACACTATGCTATGCTTTTTCCTTGGCATACAGAGTCTTGTACTGTGTGTTTAATTTTACAGCTCTAGAGCTGCATGGGGTTTTGGTAGATGTTTTAATGATAGAACCTAAAAATTGTCCTTAGCCTACTAAAGCCTCGTACAATACTTGCTGATTTATTCGAAAATAATTTTTTAGGCACTTTGTTCTTAACAACAGTAGGTCTACAATCATCAGTTTATTTTTTAAAATTTAATCATATTAGTAGCCTTGATTTTTAGCTGGTTATCATTGGCCTTTAGGCAGTGTTAATTAATATAATATTTATTTTACCAGGGAGATGAATGGGAATTATTGCTGCTAAAAAACAAGGCTGTAGTCTTTTTTGTGTGTGCTCTTGAACTTAAGGGATTTTTAAGATTCTATTTTGGTAGCATTCACATTACATGTGCAGGATGTATTCTGTCCCAGCTTGGCCATCTTTAGTGTAGCCCTTCAGTTTTACCTGCGCTATTAGATACATCATTCTTATTTTGGTTGAGCAATGTGTGTAGATAGGTTGCTTTTTATGTGTTATAGTTATTGAAATAAGAGAATAGCTTATCTTCAGAGTTTTCTTCGGGTCTTCATTATGTCCTGTGAATATTTATGTTACTTGTTAAATTGTTTATGATTCTGCAGACATCACAATACTAAGGAAAATGGATTTTTTAAAAAATAGCGCTTCTTCATGTCTCTTTTTAAGGACACCGAATAGATGTTTTACTAATACGGTTCAAAAAAGAATTCTGATGAGCAGAATATTGTGCAAAATTCTCTCCCATAAGCTATCAATATCATTTAAAAAATAGTTTCAACCATTTTTATAAAGCAAGAAGGCTATTAAAAACTGCTAATAAAAAATAGATGCTTATTTTTGTGCTAATACTAATTACTGATAATGCATGCTTATGTTTGTCACTCATTACATGGCACTGTACCAATCAGTGGATGACTGAGACTCAAGCACTTACACATGTAAATTAACCATTAGATTTTTTTTCTTTTCTTTTTTACTTAAGTGAGTCATAATGGAAAGCAACTCTAGGTCATAAAAAAATCTTTTCTCTTTAATGCTAATGAAATGTCTCCACTCTCTGTATTAACAGACTACCCTTATTGGTAATCTGTACCCTTCTCTTTTGTTCTTGCTGGTAATGAAATGCTGGGTGCTGAAAAAGCCGGCTCTCCAAGAATGTGTGGCCAATTGTCTTCTGTTCACTTATACTGTAAAATTACTGTTCCCCGGCAAAGCCGGACAAGTACGGGGACAAGATCAAAAGAGTATGCACTGGCACCCGGCTACCCTGAGTGACTCCTGCCTTATTAATTAGTCACAGATTCTCCCAAGTTAATCTACTCTGGTAGGGCAAAAACATTCCACAATATAAAAACAACAAAGTATAACCCAACCACAAGCCTTTACTGGATGCTTTCTTCAACTTTCAGTTTAAACCTTTGCACTATGTTGTGAACGCAACGTCCCTTCATTTTTCTGATCGTCAGGGCACAAAAGCTATATTAAATTTTTTCCAAAACATTACTGACACAGTCAAATGGTCATTTTTATTCTCCAAAATTGGGTAACCATTAATTGGTATCGTCCTTTTAAAAAAATCAGTGTATTGGGGATCCAATTTAAAAGTGCAGTTGCTATTAAAATTTGCAAGCTTGTTCTGTCCTCTCATCAGAAATGCCACTGGTGTTTAAGCCTTTGAAAAGGACCTTCTCTGTGAGCATTTTTTGGTGGAAGCAAAATTTGACAGTGATCCTAAGCTCCAAATTAAATAATATCAGCATGACTTTCCTTTTCATTTGAACCCCCATTTTTTAATTTCCTGAGTCTTTTTCATTTAAGAGGTCTCTAGTTGTTTTTTAGTTAATATTTTTAAGTTATAGCCTGAGACAGAAACAGCAAAAATCTGTACATTGCCGTTTCACGGTTGTGTTTTGTTTTGTTCAGGGGAGAAAGAAATAAACTTTTGAGTGAGACATCAGCTGTACAGAGGAAAGTAAGACCTGAACCATCAGGTGATGGTGGTGGTACAGTTGGTAACTTTTAGCATTTTGATTTAATTGAAAGAATTCTACCAGTTTCTGTGTCCTCTGACATGGTTTAAAAATAACAACGTGATATATTTTGTGAATATATATTTTATCTTCCGATTATGATTTTATACTCAGAATATAATTTTATTCGGATTATTTGAAACGTGCTGTGAAAGAAAGATCAAAACATTTCGACACTGGGAATATCCGAAACCCTGTTATTACATACTCAGGGGAAGTTGCGATGATTAATATCAGTCTTCACTGTACATTTGTTTTTGAAGTCAGATTCCTTCCCTCCTTAATTGCTGTATTTCTTTGTGAATTGTGAAAGCTTTTTAAAAAAAGTTATCATTAAGCTCATTTTTAAATTGTGAATTTAAAAAATAATTTTAGAAAAGATCATTAGATGTATTTCTCTGACAGTACTAGATGGAATGGTTTTATCTGCATTATGCATTTCTGGGATGGTCGGAAGTTATTTTTTAAAGCGCTGTATTAACTGTTCTTGAAAGGCTTTTTTGGGGTGTGTGTGGAAGGAATATTTGTGTTTGCGAAGGTTAACAGAGGCTGGCTGTGCTGGAAGTGACTGCAGTGCCTTTTGATTATTCATGGACAGTAATAGAAGGCACTTAAAAAGAACAATGAAATTGCTTATTTTTGTGATGGGCCATCTGTTGAATTGTTTTGTGCAACAATTGCACAATAGTATCTATGTCATATCATTCTATTTTCAACAGCAGCTGATTATGTCTCACTGGCTACTTGTCCTTATTTCTAAAGGCCCATGACCATTTAAAGTCACCTTTCCAGAAACCTTTGCCAGAAAGGTATTGGACATCTCAACCAGCTTGTGTATATTTTATTATTACTATTTCTCTTTTTTTCCTTTTATTTGGGGGTGGGTGGGGAGGGGAGTGGGTGGGAATAGGAGGAGAGAGTTGGTCATGTTAGTTCTAATTAATTAGACTTCCTAAACGTCTGGGACAATTATCTATGCTTTCCACCTGTAGTTCTATAAAAGAAGTTAACATAGAATCATTTGATAATTTGTGTAGAAATGATAGGCTTGGGGGAAAAAAAGAGTCAAGTTTAAAAGACTGCTATACAGTGTTTCATGCTTTTAATTATCTACTCTTTTCTTCATGACAATAATTAGAATTTTTCTCTTGGAATTTACTTCCATCTTAAAAAAAAAATGATTCATTAGCAAATTTGTTAGAGCAGAAGTGAAATTAAAATAAAACAAATGTGCTGTTGTCAATAGGTCACTGACATCGCTGATGCCATGATTCTGAAACAGCTTTTTGAAAATCTGTTCAAAAATGGGGTCGTCGTTGTGGCAACATCCAACAGGCCACCAGAAGGTAAAAACAAACATTGTGCTAGTCTCACCCAATTAGGTGGAAACTGACAGGCTTTTAAAAATCCATCATTTTGTACTAATTTCATTGTGTTAATAAATCTGATGACTTTGCTTGTCATTAGTTTTATAACTGGCTTAGTCGGAAAAATCAGTTGATATTTGTATCTGAAAAGTCTTTATATCTTTAGCACACTAAATCCAGTGGATTCTCATGTTTGGTTCACTTTCTAGGTTTTTTTTTTTTTTTTCTGAATATTAGCTATGTCATAGGTGCATATTAAAAAATGTAGGCCTGGCTTGGCGCCTATAGCTCAACCGGCTAAGGTGCCAGCCACGTACATCTAAGGTGGCGGGTTTGAATCCCCAGCCTGGACCCGCCAAACAACAACGGCTGCAACCAAAAAAAAAAATAGCCGGGCGCTGTGGCGGGTGCCTGTGGTCCCAGCTACTTGGGAGGCGGAGGCAGGAGACTCGCTTGAGCCCAGGAGTTGGAGGTTGCTGTGAGCTGTGATGCCACAGCACTCTACCCAGGGGGACAGCTTGAGGCTCTGTCTCAAAAAAAAAAAAAAAATGTAGGCCTTCCTAACTGCTTTTTTATAGGGGATAGGCCATAATAGAAATTCAGGCCTGTGATCCTAGCACCCTGGGAGGCCCAGGCAGGAGGATCACTTGACCGCAGGAGTTTGAGACCAGCCTGAGCAAGAGGGAAACACTTTATGTACAAAAAACCCCCAAATTTAGGCAGGCACTGTGGTGCATGCCTAGTATCCCAGCTACTTGGGAGGCTGAGATCCAGAGTTTGAAGTTTCAGTGAGCTGTGATGATGCCACTGCATAGTACCATGGGCAACAGAGCAAGACTCTGTCTCAAAAAAATAGAAAAAAAGAAAAAAAACAATTTCAATGAAATGAAAGCTGAAGCTCCTAATTAAATAAAAAAAAAAAAAGACTTAAAGCTCACTTGAAGGAGTAGTTTCAAATACTTCACTTAAATTATCATTTCTAAAAAAAAGCACTTATGGTTTATTAGGAAAGTATTAAAAAATTAAAATACAAGTAATATTTAGATAAAGATAAGTAGTGTAATAAATTATACGGGTATCTTTCAGCCCATCATGTGATCAATTAAAGGTTTAAGGCACCAAAAATAATATTTTCTGAGAGATTTGATGTTAACATCTTTCTGCTTGGAATATTGTTCCCCTCTGCATGGCTAAGTCCTTACCTTCTTTAAGTCTTTGCTCAAAAGCAGTTTTGCCAGTGAAGCCTAGACTTGTCTCCTTGTTTTCAGTCTCTGACACATTCCTTTTTGCCTGGGACTGCTTTTTACCCTGCTGTCTATTTTCCCCATAGCACATATGGACCCACTTTATCATTCACTTTTTTATCATATTTATGGTTTGTTGCCTGTCCCCTTTGAAGACTCAGAAGGCTCATGAAGGCAATACTTTTTATCTCTTCTGATCTCATATATATCCCAAGCACCTCTAATAGTGCTTTGTACATAGACGGATCTCAGTAAATAGTCTTAGAACGGATGCCCAGTGAACGCACATTTTAAAAGATCTCTCTGGCTACCGTGTTGAGAATGGACTGTGAGGTGAGGTTTCAAGGTTGGAAGTAAGGAGACCATTTAGGAGACTATTGCCGCAGTCCTGAGAGGAGGTGATAGAGCAGTGTAGTGGTGAGAAGTGGGCTGATTCTAGATGTATTTTATACCCAGAGGTAGGAAGGTAGAAGTAGGGGTTGCTGTTAGGTAGGACAAGGCTTGTGAGTTTGGACTTGGTTGGAAATATAAATTTGGGAGTTGTCGGTCTTAAGCAAGGCTGGAAAGAGGAGTTGGTGAGGTAGGAGGAGAGCTGAGAGATTGTCAAATGAGGAAAAGAAAATGCTATGAAAGGATGTTAAATGCTGCTACAAGGTGAAAATGAGACTGAGAATTGATCATTGGAATTGGTAACATGAACTTCCTTAGTGAACCTGAAAAGACCAATGTAATAGTGTGCATTTTTTAAAAAATAAGCTATACCACATTGATGGTTTATGTTGAATTGTAATTACTAACACACTCAGACCTTACTATGCAGGCTGCTGTCAGCCTGGGTCTCATTTAATGTTTGCGTAGTTGATTTTTCTTCCTATTATATTTCAGCTTATTGGTTGTCTGCATTGTTCTACTTTATTGATTTTTGTTGAAATCTTTTTGTAGTATAATGCTAACAAAGTTTTTTTTGGCTATCCTTACTAACCGTGACATTTATAATTTTGGTAATCATGCCTCTATATTTTCAGCTATTCATTAATTAAAATGTGCAAATAGGGTAGGACTAAGTCTAGTCACCTGTAGCGTATCACTAGAGGCCCTAGTCAGTAATCAACACTTTTGGATCTAGTTATTCAAACTAGTGTAGTTATACTTTGTCTGTTACACTATAAGAGAATTATGAGTGATTTTTGTGATATGAGAGTATTAAAATCTATATAAAGATAGCTGCAGCATTCTTATGATTTACTAGTGTTAGCAACCCTATGAACCAAGGCAGTGAGCTCTTTAATACTAGATTATCTATCTAGGTGGAAGTAGGTTTGCCTTTGTTCTATCTGACACGCTGATTTAACAGAGGCATCATTATTACCTTTAGACATTCAGTGGCAAACTATGTTTGTAAATAACAAAGTGCAAGAACAATTTCAGCAGACTACTGAAAGGAAAATTGCAGTTGGCTGCTCAGTCTAGTGGTGAACGGAGGAAGAACTACCATGAGGAGAGGTTAAGGAAGAATTTGCAGCTTTGTAGGAGTGAACCAAGTTGCTGGTCCATCAAGGTAGCAAGCAGAAAATGAACCAGAGGTCACCCTTCAGGGAAAGACTTGGAGTTCCAGATGCAGAACTACAAAAACTAGACAAACTGGGGTGGTACCTGTGGCTCAAAGGAGTTGGGCCCTGGCCCCATATGCCGGAGGTGGCGAGTTCAAACCTAGCCCTGGCTAAAAACTGAAACAAACAAACAAACAAACAAACAAAAAAAAAACTAGGCAAACTTAAGAAAAAGCCTTTTCTAAATATGATGTGTAGGAGGACCACTTGTCTAAGAAACACTGGGTTTCTTAGCCACAGCAGACATTCATTGTAAGTAGCTTAATGTTTTAATGTAAAGATAATGGCATATACTTGATACATATGTGTGTGTATAGATAAATTGATATAAAATTTCAAGAATAAAGAAAAAAACTCAGAGAAATTAAAGATGAATATCAGGAAAAGGTAAAACCATAGGACAAAGTGTGGACCAGTGGTTTCCAGAAGCTGGGGTGGGGAGGTATTTGGCTACAGGAGCAGCATGAGAGAATTTCTCAGGGCAATGGAACTGTTCTGCGTCCTGATCAGAATGCAGTGGTCACACGTGTTAAAACTCACCGAAGCATACTCCCCAAAGTTAATCTTACTATATACAGATTAAAAACAGATCACCTACATCCTGAGTGGTAGAACAGTGACCGGAACTGATTTTGTGACTCTCTTAACACATTGCCCTCTCTCTTTTCTCTTTGTTAGTCATTACTGATCTTTGTTCACTCTGTCCCCAATAAAGAGTGTCCTCTTTTCCAGACATCAAAATACATTCCGATACATTCCACTTTTCTTTAAGCCACAGCTTTTGATCCGGGTCCCAGATAGTTTTTTTTTTTTTGCTTCATTTTGTTTTCTATTTAGAACATACCTCTCAGATTGTTCCAAGAGCCAAGGGAGAGAACCTTCTCAGCACAGGGTTGAGGTAAAGCTGAGCAGCTGGAGACAGAAAGGCTCATTTGAGGAACTGAAAAGGTAGCCAGTGTGGTTATTGTGGACCATGAGGTACAAGATGAATCTGGAGTAGGAAGAGTGGGACTTCATAGCATTAACAGGGATTTTGGGGTTGATTCTAAGAGAAATGATAAACCATGAAGCTTTTCTTTTTTTTTTTCTCTTTTTTCTAACGTCTACCTGGAACAGTGTTTTAGAACATCTCAAAGGCATCTTAGCTGCTAGTCTGAGGCCTGGAATGCAAACAAGAACAAATCAGAGGCAGTTAGGTGGGCAAGAATGGGGAGAGGGTAATGTTTTCATGGTCCCTTAGAGCAACACATGCAAAGAATGAGCTATATAGAGTGCAGAGAATGTGTTGCTAGGTGAGTTGTAGTCATATGGTAGAGGCAGGGAGCCATTTTGGGAAGCTATTATTGCACACTAGAGAAGAAGCAATGGTACCTCGGTAGACGGCAGCGATTCTCAGCTGGGGGGCTATTTTGCTTATCAAGGGATATTTGGCATCATCTGAGACATTTTTGGTTGTCTCACCTAGCCAAGGAGAGCTGCTACTGGCATGGAGTAGATAGAGGCCAGTAATGTGGTCAAAGATCCTATGATGCATCTTCTACCATAAGGAATTGTGTGGCCAAAAATATTAATCGTACCTAGGTTAAGAAACCCTAGTATAATGCTGTGATAGTGGATATGAAGAGAAGGATAGATGTTAGAGATATAGGGGGTCAGATGGACAGCACCTGGGTGTAGATTGGATATTGAAGAAAAGGGAAAGGATGGTTTCTAAATTTCTGGGTTGTACAACTGTATAAATGAATGTGCCTTTTTCCATAAAGACAGAAAACTCTAGAGATAAGATGATACTTGGTAGAGAAGGACACTTATGTTTTTCCTCTCTCCTTTCCTCCTTTAGCTTCTTTGTTTAATTTCTTCTGCTTTATTCATCTCATTCTCTCCATTTCTAGCTATAATATATAAAAATTTCCTGGTCAAAAATGGGGGTTGCTGGTGATGACGGGGTTACAATCACATCTTAATTCTAATTCTTTAACCAGCTAATGACTTGTTTATTTATAGACAGATGATTATTTTTAACAAAATGATAAGGAACATTCAGTGATTATTAAGTTTAATAGAAAATAATTAGTAGTCAAGTAAAGTAAGTTCTTTTCTCTCACTGAAGGGTTTTTAAGTCCATTGACTTCCATTATATAAGGAATTTCTGGTGTGAAAAACTATATCATC